CGCGTGAAAAAGGCAAAAAGCAAACGTAACGGTGTAACACCATTTTTTCATAAATTTTTATCATCTTTTTTATTGAGTCTCGATTCGTCTGAATCGGCTGTTTTAACTTCTCAAGCAACGTTTCTACGACTCTAACTACTAAAAATAATCTGCTTCAGTATCTAGAGACAGTTCTTAGATCTCTGTGCCGCTGAAAGTCTCCTGTTGCAGTAGTGTACTACTACCATAGGTGAGAAACAGACTGACAAAAGGACATTTTCAACTGCTCTGTCTCTTTTCGATCTCGAACTCTACATTATTTAGATCCAATTGACTTATGAAAACATCCAAAAAAATAAAGGTCTTAACGTCTTCTGTCGAGAATTCTAGACATTTTATTAGAATTTTAGGTCAAGACATGATATATAGTACCAAATCGAAGTAGAATATATTGAGTTGAGATTATGCCTACAAACAGATCTATTTGTGAGTAAAATGTTCTGAAAATTTTAGTATAAAAAATGTTCTTTTCTAGAGATATCAAAACCCGAAAAACACTCGCATCCGACGCAAATTGTCGAAACTTTCTGTTTTTAAGACTTTAAAATCTCAGGAAGAAAATACTTTTTTGGGCTGAGTTTTTTGGGATATTTTACTCACAAATAGATCCGTTTGTAGACATAATCTCAAATCAAAATACTGTACTTCGATTTAGGTACTACATACTATGCATTGACCTAAAATTCCAATAAAATGTCTAGAATTCTCGACAGAAGACCTCAGAACCTTTATTATTTAGAATGTTTTCATACGTCAATAGGGTCTATGTTATGCATAAACTCCAAATTGAAGAGCGGTTAAGCAGTTTGAAAGATTTTCTCTCTATGGACGAGCTATTATGGTTAAAGTTAATCATAACCAGAAATCTCGGGTAACAAACGAAATAATACGAGTTTTAGAAAGATTTCTCGCTAGATAAGTAAACCAATGAATAAAATTCGATTTGAGTTCTATTTAATTGCTACCTAATACCTCTAATATCGAAATTATTGCTCAATTATATAAACTAAATAAATGTGGAAACCTCGGATTTAAATCCGAGAGTTATGTGTACTTCAAAAAGTGAATGAGACAAATCGATCATCCTAGAATGTGCGGATATAAAAATTAGCCTGGCAAATCCTTTCTATAAACACTTGAATTTTTATTATTATGACACAGCCTCCTCTGTATTGATTGATATGAAACTAGTTTTACAGCTGTAGTGTAGGGACATCTTCCGCGTGAAACTCAGTTTGATCGAAAATAAAATATACAAATTAAAAGAGAACTTAATATAAAGTATTTCTATAATAATTTTTTTTTCTGATATGAAGATGTGAGCTAGATGTCTCCACGGGAATGTGTCAACTCGTCACGTTTTTTCTTGTCTGGTTTTCGTAACGAATTGACAGTACGAAAGCCCGTGACAGAGCTTTCGTAACGACAAAATCAGGGCTTTCGTAACAAAGTTTACAGGGTGATCGTAATTGTTGTTTTAATATGTACCATTACAGAGCTTTTGTAACAAAAAGCATGTAATTTCTGCAAACTCAGTTCAGCCATCACCCTCATCCTCATTACGAAATCCCTGTTGCTTCGTTTCGAAAGCTCTGCAACTGTTACGAACTCCCTGTATTAATCGTTACGATCGTCCTGTAAATTTCGTTACGACATCCCTGTATTTTTGGATATCCCTATTTTTGGTGTTACGAAAGGTCTGATTTTTGCTGTTTGTTCAACTCGTCACGTGACGAGTTGAGACGTTCTCGTCTCCACTTGTAGTGTATCATGTTGTCAATTGGTGATTCTAGTTACATTGTTTTCGCCAGACAACGTACTAATAAAAAAAAATCATATTTTTGATTTATTCGATTATTTTAATGGAAGAATTTGATGGCAACAGGAACACCAACAACTACTTCTCATAGTGGAAAACATCGATTAGATTCTGAAATAGAAAAATATCGTTTAGAACTTAATTGGACTAAAATTCTTGATAAATTAAAAAGTGCAAAAGTTTCAGGTTTTATTTCTTAGTTTGGTTTTTTTTTAATAAAAATCTAAAATGTAATTTGTTTTTTTTTGTTTGAAAAGAATAGGTTTAATGTTTGGAAGGAGAAGCTCAATTAGAATATTATTTACAACAATATCCATTAACTGATTATCGTCATATAGAACAATCTCGAAATGATTTAATTCGTGTTGAAAATCTTCTTAAATCAGCTGGATCAATTCGTTCATTTGAAGGTCAATGTTTATTAGCTAAACTATATTATGGTCAATCACGTTATGATGAATGTTTAACATATGTTATTTTAGCAATTAATTCAATACCAAATGATATTAATCAGCAACCAAATAGATCTTATTTATTACTTGCAGAAATTTTTGCACTTAATGGACTTTTATTAGAAAAAAAAATGAAAATTTATTTGAAATAATTAAATCATTTGATGATTCTTGTAAATTAAGTCAAACACATTATGCTGCTGTTGAAAAATCTAAACATTTAAGTGATGAGAATTCAAATGTTGAAAATTCTTTAATTGAATTAGCTTATCAACGTTTGCCACTTTTACATGCTTCAAATAAGTAAACATTTTTTTTTTTGAAATAAATATTAATTGTAGAAAATCTTGATTTAAAATAAATATATTATTATTTAGTAGTATAAAAACAGCAAGTGAAATATTTCGTTCATATATTCAAAATGTTTATATTAAATCATTAGAAACAATGAGACAAGTTTGTTTTAAATAAATTAAATTAAATTCATTGTCTTTTTCTTTTTATTAATATAGACGTTAGTTAAACAATATGCTGAATTATTATTAAAATGTGTTTGTAAAGGAAATTATATTCCAATAACAATTTCAGATGATAAAAATACTAAAATTAATCGTCGAACATCTCAGTAAGAATAAATAAATTGATAGATAAATAAATAAATAAATAAATAAAATTCTATAAAATAGATCATTATTTATTTCTCGAGATGTTGATGAAGAAATTCTTTTATTATTATTATTGGGTCAAACATCAACATTAAATGAAGCTGTACTTGATTGGCAACCTGAACATGAAGGTCAAAGAGAACGTAGTCATCAAGCTGTTTATAATATTCTTGCTCTTTTATCAATATTTCTTTCTCGTAAACAAGCATTTCATATTATTGCTGATGTAACATTTTCTTTTCTTATCTTTTATCTTTATAAAAATTGAATATAATATATACATATATATAGTCTTGCGAACAAGCACTTCGTTTTTCATTTGAACATTTTCAAACATGGTTTAATTATGGATTATCATTAATATCATCAGGTCAATCATTTCGTGTTTATCTTATATTAAAAGAATGTTTAAGAATAAGAATGCAACCAAAAAATCTTCAAGTTTATTTACAACTTGCTAAAATAATTCTTGAATATATATATGATGTAGATTTAATTGAATTGTTTTTTTTTGTTTTTAATTCTTAAATTGGCATATTATTATTTAAAATAGTTTCCATCATTATTTGAAACATTTCCATCAACTGTTGAAGATAAACAAACATTATTAAAACAAACATTATATCAACAACAATATTATTTAAATCAACATAAACAACGACCGAGATTTATTGATCTTGTAATTTTCATTTTTTTTTATTTATAAAATAAATTCGAATTACGCCGCTGTACGTTTTCCATAAAAACTCATCTCGCATTCTATTTAGTTTATCTTCAATTTCTTTCATTTATTCTTTCTTTTTAGACTTTAACTATTATTACAATTGTTTTGAAACGATTAAAATCAATTAAACGATTAAATAAAAAATACAAATTGAATTGTTTTCAATTTCAACGATTAAATAAAAAAACAAATTCAATTTTTTTCAACATCAACGATTAAATAAAATACAAGTTGAATTGTTTTTTATATAAACGATTAAATAAAAAAAACAAATTCAATTTTTTTCAATATAAACGATTAAATAAAATACAAATTCAATTTTTTTTTGAATAGACACGATTAAATAAAAAATACAAATTCAATTTTTGTTCGATAAAGACTACTAAGATTTTGATTTTCTCATCTCAAAGTTTCTTACTTAGAATCGAGTGAATCTTCACCAAGTTTTACGAAGATTTTTCTCGAAAGAAACTTTGCCATTGTTTATCTCACCAAGTTTAGAGATAAACGCACGTCTCACTAAGTAGAAGACGTACTCGGTATATACACGTGCTTAATCATAGTGAGAAGCTGCTTTCATTTAAAATTTTAACGATTAATTTAATCGTATTTTATTTCATTATCTACGGCCTGGAAAAATCAGTCACATCAAAAGTACTTTTTCAGCTAGTTTGAAGAAATGCCGAAGCTTAAAAGAAGATCTATATCTCAAAGAAATGTCGAGATAACTAGGAGAATGAGAGAAAGAAGAACTGATGATGAGTTTCGCTTGTTAGATAATAGAAGACGAGCAAATTCTCATAAAATTGAACGACAAGATGATGAATTCAAAACAGAAGAAAATAAAAGAAGAGCCGAAGCTCATAAAATTGACCGACAAGATGATGAATTCAAAGCAGAAGATAATAAAAGAAGAGCCAAAGCTCTGAAAATTGCACGACAAGATGATGAATTCAAAACAGAAGATAATAAAAGAAGAGCCGAAGCTCTGAAAATTGCACGACAAGATGATGAATTCAAAGAAGAAGAGAGAAGAAGAAATGCATTAAGAATACACAATAACAGAGATAAATACAAAAGTAATTTTGATGGCATGAAATCAAATTATGAATCAAAAATAAAAGAAGGACCTACTCATATTTGTAGTTGTTGCGGTGGTTTATGGTTTGAGTATTCAATCAAAGAATATACAGTTGAGATGTTAACAAACAAAGGATTAAAAAAAGAATTTATCGATACAGTTTGTTATCTCAAAAATACGATCATTAAATTATGTGTCACTTGTAGAAAGGACATCATGTCGAATAAGGTACCTAATCTCAGTCTATCTAATGGTTTAGCATTCTATGAAGTACCGGATTGTTTGAAAATCTTGACTGAATTAGAAGAAAGATTAATATCGCCAAGAATTCCTTTTATGGTTATTCGAAGTTTAGGTTCTTGTAAACAATTTGGTCTCAAGGGTAACCTTGTAAATGTTCCCATGAATGTTGATACGAATGTTTCAGTATTGCCTAGAAGTTTCAGTGATACTCACACGATTCAATTGAAACTCATGAGACAAATGAAAAATAAAAAGGGATATTATTAAGCGGTCAGTAAAATAAATGAAATGGTCAGTAAAATATATGAAATGATCAGTAAGATAAATGGTCAGTAAAAAATGTATAAATGATCAGTAAAAAGATTAAATGGTCAGTACTTAGATTATCACTCATATAAAAAAAAAAAAAGATTGGAAAAAATCTGATTTTAATCGATTTTTTTGTGATTAAAAATCGATTAAAATGGAACAGTTTTAACCAGGTTTTTAATCAAACTAGTGATTAAAATAAATTAAATTTATAAATATCCATTTTAACCGATTAAAATTTTTTCATTGACTATTTTACTCAATTTTAGTCAGATTATTCGATTTTTAATCTATTAAAATCGATTAAAATTTTTAAATCGATTTTAATCAATTCTAATAGTTTTTCTTTTTAAATGAATAAGTACCAATTGATATCGAGTCTTGAAGCATGGAATTTATGTCAAAGGTCCATCTAGCATCATATCTACTAATTTTCCGAGGCAAGGAGTCCGAAAAAGCGATCGAACATCTGAGTTTTCAACATAAAGTTTGAGAAAACGCATTTTACCGTCGCCGCCATTAAAATTAATATTTATAAATTTAATTTATTTTAATCACTGGTTTGATTTAAAAAATCGATTAAAATTAGATTTTTTCCAATCTTTTTTTTATATGAGTGATAGTCTAAGTACTGACCATTCAATCTTTTTACTGATCATTTATATACTTTTTACTGACCATTTATCTTACTGACCATTTCATCTATTTTACTGATCATTTAATTTATTTTACTGACCGCTTAAATAGTAGCCAAATAAAAATGCTTTTATGTATGAAACAATTCGACCAAAAGTTGTGCATACTGCTGTAAAATATTTGGTTGAGCAAGAGCTGTATAAAGATGAAGGAATTGTGATATCCCATGATTGGCTGAAAGAATATTCTAACGAGAGAGAGAATTTTATCATCGATGATGAAGATAAGAAATTCGATGAAAATGAAAACATCAGCAAAGATTTTGATGACGAGGACAAATGGAATGAATGTGACGATAAACCAGTCAATCCTAGTACTACTGAAACATTATTAAATGACGAGATTGGTGATCAGAATGATATTGGTATCAAATTTGCTCCAGGAGAGAATAACAGACCGATATCGATTTTAATGGATTTAAAAGTCGATGAATTAACATTTCCGAAAATTTATTGTGGCAAGCAAAGAAAAATCAAAGCGAATGTTAAATTAACTTATGCTAAGATTGCCAAGTCAGAATTAAGAATGTTTGATCGAAGATGTGGCAGAATATCGAAATTGTTTTTCACATATAAGAAACTACAAACGAGAAAGTTCTCCGATGCTATTTCAATAAATTTGAGAAAAACAAAAAATACGAAAAACATAACTGCTACACAGATGCTCAATCGAGATTATGTAAATGGATTAATACATAATGATGATGCTTTTACATTCTTAAGATGTGATCGATCTTCGCCAGCATTTTGGGAATTAAAGAAAAAGGAAGTTATGGCGATGATCAGACAGTTAGGATGTCCAACACTATTTTTAACATTATCAGCAGCAGAAACAAAGTGGTCAGAACTAATTGTAATATTAACTCAAGTGTTGGAAAATAAAGTAATAACATTAGAGGAGGCAGAAAACATGAGCTATGAAAAAAAGTGCGATTTAATAAGACAAGATCCGGTAACATGTGTTCGTTATTTTGAACATAGATTAAAATGTTTATGGGAAATATTATCGGCTCCTTGTGGTCCATTTCAAGGCTATGAATTAGTAGACAAATATGTCAGAACTGAATTCCAAGTTCGTGGTTCACCACATGTTCATGCTCTACTATGGTTAAAGAATGCTCCAAAATATGACGAAAATAATCCTGAATCAATTGAAAGATGTATAGAATTTATTGATAAATTGATTTCGGTTAGTTCTAAGCCAACGGAATTTTCTGAAGAATTTATCAATTTACAACGTCATAAGCACTCACATACTTGTAAAAAATATGTAAAAGATTGTATTAAATGTCGTTTTGGTATTCCATATTTTCCAATGAGAAAAACGATGATTTTAGAACCATTTAGTGACGATGAAAAGTTAACTAAGAAAGAACGTGAAGAGATCAGCAAAAATAGACAGAATGTAATCAAAGAACTTGACAAAATATCAAAAGATCAAGATAATTCATTAACTTTTGAAGAATTCTTGAAACATGTAAATATGAATGAAGAAGAATATATTAAAATAATTCGAGCTGAATTAAAAAAACCGAAAGTATTCTTGAAACGTGCTCCAAATGAAATCAGAATCAATGCATACAATCCAATGATAATGTCATTGCACAAAGCAAATATGGACATTCAGTTCATTCTTGATCCTTATGCATGCTCAATGTATTGTGTTGACTACATTAGCAAATCTGAAAATGGAATGTCTAAACTTCTAAGAGAAGCATTGAATGAGCTAAAAAAAGGCAATAATACAGTCAGAGAACGTCTTAGAGTTATTGCAAATAAATTTTTGAATTCAAGTGAAATTTCAGCACAAGAAGCTGTCTATCATATTTTAAGTATTCCACTTTCAACCAGCAGCAGAAGTACTGTATTTATTAATACCAATAGACCCGAAAACAGAATTTCTATGGTCAAATCAGATGAAGTTCTTCAGAAACTGGAGCCTGATTCAAAAGATGTTTTTCTTCAAGGCTTAATTGATATGTATATAAATAGGCCTGAAGAAATGAAAAATATCTGTTTGGCTGATTTTGCTTCATTGTATAATGTATCAAAAAAACAAACAAACAACGTTCAGATTACGGAAAATTCTGATGATGAAGATGTCATTGACAATGAAATTGATGAAAAAAGTGTTGCTCTAAAGATGAAAAATGGAAAAGGATGGATTAAAAAAAGAACAAAGGAAAAAATAATAAGATTCAGAAACTTTAAGCTACATCAAGATCCTGAAAATTATTACAGAGAGCAGCTGATGCTATTTCTGCCATGGAGTAATGAGGAAAAGGATCTTATTCATATAAATCATGAAGAGACATTTGAATTAAATAAAGATTTGATTCGACAGAAAAGATCTGAATATGTTCATCGTGAAGCCAATGAATTCGAGCAAGCTTTTGAAGAGCATATGGAAAGAGAAATTGAAAATAATATCGATGATACAAATATTGAATATGATCAAGATAAGAATGAATTTCTCATTTATGAAATAGGAAATAATGAAGGCGATATCTTTGTTGAAATGGGAATAAATACTCGAACTGAAAAAATCGAACATTTTAATGTTCCCAAAATGATACCAGATGCTGATTATCAGCGATTGATGAGAAGTCTCAATAGCAATCAAAGAAGATATACTTTAAATGTGATGAATTTGATAAAAAATGGAGATAAGCAATTTTTTCATTTTATTAATGGCGGTGCAGGTGTTGGCAAAAGTACTTTGATCAAAGCAGTATATCAATCGATACTGAGATTTTATAATTCTCTTCCTGGATCTAATCCAGAAACTATTCGTACTGCAATCTGTGCGCCAACTGGCAAAGCAGCAGCACTAATTGATGGAATGACGTTGCATTCATTTTTAAGTTTACCAGTTAATCAATGCAAACATAAACTCGTTAAACTAGACAGTGATATTTCAAATAGAATTGGAGTGAAATTGAAAGATCTACAAGAAGGATGTCATAATATCCATAACTCGGGTATCGAGATTTTATTCATAGGTATTAGGGTATCTATTCGATCCATTTCTCATTATTCACACGCACATAAACTTGAGCAATTTGAGTGAATTTGGTGTAACCAGATGAATATCCCATTCTTTCAGTGGGTATCCCCAAAAGTTGAGCAGTTTGAGTGAATTTGGTGCAACGAGATGAATCTCACAATCGCTGAATGGGTACCCTCAAAATTTGAGCAATTTGAGTGAATTTGGTGTAACGAGATGAATATCCCAATCTTTTAGTGGGTATCCCCAAAAGTTGAGCAATTTGAGTGGATTTGGTGTAATGGAATGGATATCCAAAATTTTTAGAGGGTACCCCTAAAAGTTGAGCAATTTGAGTGGATTTGGTGTAACGGGATGGATATCCAGAATTCTTGAAGGGTACCCCTAAAAGTTGAGCAATTTGAGTTGATTTGGTGTAACGAGATGAATATCTCAATCTCTTAGTGGGTACCCCCAAAAGTTGAGCAATTTGAGTGGATTTGGTGTAACGAGATTTGGGTATCCATCTCGTTACACCAAATCCACTCAAATTGCTCAACTTTTGGGGGTACCCTCCAAAAA